GTGCTATTTCTTGACTTTTGTATAATTTATCAACAAAATTTAATCATAGGAATATAAACAAAAAACAGCTTATATATAGTAGACCGTCATTTAACATGGTAGTTAAATTCCTAAAAACACCGTGTTAGGTAAAACCGTGTTAGATGAAAAACTTGTGGGAAAAATAGGGTTACGTTCCTACGAGCCCCAGAAAAAGCCAAAACTTTTTTTTAGACCTCCACATCTTACAATAATAAAAGTGATTATGTAATTGTAGTTCACTGTTGTGATATATTATGTTGTTTTTACTGCTTAAGACTACAAATGTAACAGAAATAATATTTTTTACCTTAAATTATGGGTGCTGGTGTTTGTGGATGATTGTGAAGAGAGTGTAGAGTTATTCTGTGGTCCTACTGGGCTGAGGTGGATGGTAGAGGTTCTAGTACTGAAGTTGATGGTTGTACTGGAGTGTAAGTCATTCAGTAATTCAGTCAAGTCATCAGTAATTTAGTCAAGTGATTCTGTAAGTCAGTCAGCAAGTCAGTCAGCAAGTCAGTCAGCAAGTCAAGTCAGCCATTCAGTCAGCCATTCAGTCAGCCATTCAGTCAGCCATTCAGTCAGTCAGTCAGTCAGTCAGTCAGTCAGTCAGTCAGCCATTCAGTCAGTCATTCAGTCATTCAGTCAGTCAGTCAGTCAGTCAGTCAGTCAGTCAGTCAGTCAGTCAGTCAGTCAGTCAGTCAGTCATTCAGTCAGTCATTCAGTCAGTCATTCAGTCAGTCATTCAGTCAGTCATTCAGTCAGTCATATCAGTCATCTCATTCAGTCAGTCATTCAGTCAGTCATTCAGTCAGTCATTCAGTCAGTCATTCAGTCAGTCATTCAGTCAGTCATTCAGTCAGTCATTCAGTCAGTCATTCAGTCAGTCATTCAGTCAGTCATTCAGTCAGTCAGTCAGTCAGTCATTCAGTCAGTCATTCATCAGTCATTCAGTCAGTCATTCATTCAGTCATTCATTCAGTCAGTCACACAAACTTATGTTTACCTCTTTTTATGTGTACAAAGTAACACTTCATTATGGCCACAGGTTATGTCTTGTCTAATATCTTTGTTTCCTTCGTTAATTCTAAGACTAAATGCTTACACCTTTTCTTGCCACTCTGAGCAACGCTGGTATGCCTACTGGGTGTCACGATTGCTTGGCAGATACAAGATATAGCAATTAAAAGATCAAAAAACACAATTCACAATCACAAGCTTGTAGCAGAGAAGTTGGACTGGACACGTATGAAGTATGAATGCTGGGATGGTGGGTTCGTGTCGGGGGGGGGGGGGGGCTGGAGACAGCGGGAGGTCTACCCCGCTGAACGACAAGGTGGCCACTTGAGAAAAAGGTAAGTTTTTTTTTTCCTTCTCGCAAACTGAACCATGTTAAATTCATCATACGACGTGTTACATAAAATTGTGTTGCAATTCTTCAATTGTGCTATACCCAAATCGTGCCAAATAAACTCGTGCTAAATGACAGTCTACTGTATATGGTTCAATATTATCCACGGTAGGTCTTGGAATGTAACCCCGGGGATATGGGGGACTATTGTATTTCTATTTATTTGTATTATATACCAATATTATATTGCCAATACATGTACTATCTTTTCATATTTGCAATGCTGTATTTAAACCTCTCCATTATAATCTAGACCATTTTATTATGAACAGAAATTATTCATGCTGAATTTTCCACACCAAACAAATTTTGTGCCAATTATGGACATTTTTTTTAAATAAAATTTAACAAGTAAGACAATGATTGCAGAAGTCTTTATTATACAATGCTTCACCACAAACTGGCTTTATGGACATGTACTTGATAAAGCCAATTTGGGGTAAAACACTGTACAATAAATACTCCTCTGCAATTACTGATTTACATATTAAACTGCTGGCACTTTGCCATTTTTCTAGAAAAAAAAAAACATTCCTAATTAATGCTTACAGGGAAAAAATGACCGTTTCCATGACAAAAAACAGAAACTACCATGACAGCTATTTTTTTTCTATAATATTGTAGAATTCTTGTGAATTTTAAAGACAAATTCCTCAAATATGTGTGTGATGTAATAACATTAGGTATACATGTAGTACTGTATTATATTTAAAAATTTAATCATTAGGATTATTCTAAAAATAGTAATTAATTATAAGGATTATTGTATGTTGAAGCACTCTTGGTATTAAAAATAATATAAAATGTTGAAAAGGAAAATATTAGGTTATGTGGGATGAAAAACTCTGGGAAAGAACCAATTTGGAAAAAGATTGCTCAAGGGAAAAACTGATTGGGAAAAACCGACTGTATAAAAAAAAAAGACTGCTTGGGAGAAAAACACTGCTCAGAAAAATTGCTTGGAAAAAATAGATTAGGAAAATAACAGTGAATTCTTTTGATGCTAGGGGAACAATATTTATAGGATAGGATTATTATGGGTACAAAGATAAGAGGAACAGACTGCAGATAGATATGGTAAGTAAGTTACTGAAGTAAAGCATTGCTACAAAGAATATTAACAAAATGAATGTGGAATGTGAGCATAAGTGATTTGAGGATTAAGATGAGTACGTGTGAATGTAAGTGTAGTCTCCAGCTAACCAATCACCATGGTAAATTGTGGGATGAAACAGAGAGACAATCATTACTGTATTTTATTGTTATCTACTTTGGAGTGAGACCTAACTAAACACTTGGACTCAGGTACTTTGGCCTAGCCCCCTCAATCATTCATTGAATTGTCTAGGTATTGTAGCTAGACTTAAAATGCCCAAACAGGTATTTAACTATTTTTCAGACTGATAAGGCTCAACTGGTTGAGGTGAGGTAAGAACAGAGAGCAGTCTCTCAAATGTAATACAAACTGTGGAGAATGCCCACAAAAATCCAAATAAATAACTACAAAAAGCAAAACATGGTTTACAAAAGGTTTTCTCAGGTCAAATATAAAGAAAATAGTAGAGCAGTACTATGCAAACCTCACAAGAATAATTAAAAGTATTTAAATAAAATTACTATATTAACAGATTTATGATTCCAAAGAAGACACAGTATTAAAAACTTTTAAAACCCTTTCCCAAATTCTAGGGTAAAAAAATGGTGAAAAAAAATACAAATAATCCTATCCAGAGCAAAGGAACCCCCTCGTTCAACTGACAATACTGGGATCAAGTTCAACAATTTCTTCTCTACAGTAAGAACTAACATTTCAAACAAAATCCCAGAGGCTCATACCAACATCAGTAGCTATCGTACCAATAATTACCAACAATCCTACTCAATTCCTTCAACAACTTCTGAAACATTAACATTAAGCACTTGAAAAAAATTCACCTAGAATCACAAAAGAAACATCCACCATTATCTACATAAAAGCTGCAATAGTAGTATCTCCATCCACTTCAATAGTTGAACACACGTTTTAAGACTGACTCCATAATTATTACAGACAAATAGCTAAACTAACAATGCAGTAAAAAAAAATCCGAGAAAGCAATTCACAACCAGCTGTACTCTTATTTAACCAAACAATGTGCTAACTCCTTGTCCATTTTTATTCAGACCTTAAAAAAAAGTTATGATAATGCCTGACAGTTTATGCTGCACTTGAAAGAAACAAGAAAACTAATGGACTTTATTGATTTGCATAAAGTTTTTAATATTGTTGACCACAATATTTTTTCTTTGCAAACTTAATCACTATGGACTCTCAGAGTACAGCTACTTCAAATCTTACAGACAAAAGATAATTAGTCATAAATGACACTTTTTTGACTATCCAACCAAGTAAATTTGGTGTACCTCAGGTTAGAGTCTTGGGCCCTCTTCTCTTCCTCATCAATGACTAGTCAAATGCCTGACTTTAAATACTAGTCTATAGTTAACAATGAATTATAAGAAAAGGTCTACATCTGGATGATAAACTCACCCCTTAATAGAAAAAAAAAATTAGATCTAACTTCAACCATCAAAATTAATGAATCTGAAGTAGACAAAAAAGTTAAGGGCAAGTTTCTAGGTCTGCTCAAAGCTAATGCTCATATCCAGCTCATTTCACACAATAAAAACTATAGGAATACTCTCCAAAATCCACTATTACGTTCTCCAATATATACTACTAACACTACTTCTCAATCATTTATTCACACCTTGCCTATGCAATCTGTGTTTGGCATTCTACCCCACCTATCCACCTCAAACCAATTATCACACAACAAAGAGAAGTTATGAGAATCATGACAATTACAAATTTTGGGCAACAGACAACACATTAATTTAAATCCAAAAGCCTACTAAAAACTACTGCCATATGTACTACTGCTCACTTCATGTGTTCAAAACACTACACTGTAATGCTGACCCCAAGACACCACCTGGAAACTGTGAAAGAACACACAGGTATGACATCTGAAACAAATACCTCTCTGATATTCTTTGTGTTTGCTTGAACCTCTACAGAAAATAAAAAGGTCAAAAATGTGGACTAACTTGCAAGATGAATTAAAAAGTTGTAACTTTCTTAATGATTTCAAACAAAAATTAAAAAAAAAAAATTGTGCCTACCTTCATTTCATTATTTTCTTATTTTCATTTTTAATATTTTGCAATTACATTTCAGCCCAACGATATATTTAAATGTTATGCCTGTTGCTAAAAATTTAATTTTCACTTAAATTTGTATTACGTACAATATTATTCACTTTTACATTTCAGTGTATCTTACATTCATACACACTGTCCTGTTTTATTTTTATACAGTTAGTATTAGTCCTAGCTTAAGACTGCCCAACATCTTATGTGTAACTAATGGGGTTTTCACTAAGATATTTACACTGTTAAATCTATTGTAATTGCTGTATTAACTTGAGAAATAGTTGCTTGTCCCATGTCAGTCATCAGTTAACCCTGTTTAGTTTCTACATCGTAAATTAAGTCACCAGTTGTGTAAGGCCCAAATCCTGTGACCTACCAAGGTAAGCTTCTGTTCCTCAGGCACCACCACCCGGTATGAGACGTCGTTGATGATGAGGTCAAAGTTGCTCATGAGAAGAGATTCGATGCTGTCTGAGGAGGAGATTCTCACTCCATCTGTAAGATATCACTGAGGCTAGAGACAAGATAATGAATACAATATGACTAAGACTGAAAGTGTTTTTATACAAAAAAATTATTAGTTAAATAGATATAAAATTTAAGATAAGTAAATCCCACATAAAAACATTAGTACATTATTTATCTACAGCTTACAGGAATAAATATATTCACCTATTATTTGCTGTATATGTACATTCCCCCTCCTCCCCCAATTTATGCTATTTTGCTTTGTGCAAATCCACTTTCATGAGGTGACCCTGTCTATTAGTAATTTGTTACATGCAGTATAAAGGCACTTTTATGCAATCACCCAAGCCAGTCATCAATAGATTTTTTAGCAATATCTCTTAAAATCACTCCTAACTGGTGAGGTCAAATATTCAATTTTCGATCTTGACAAATAAAACTTCCATCAGTGGAAACCTTGCATCTGCTGATTTCAGAAAATTTGTTTAACACGAATGATGAAGATTAATACCCAAGTTATGATGTTCCAAATAAATGTTTATTGTCCTTTTAACACAAAATGACCTCACTCATTATCTCCTGACTTTCCTTACACTTGGTGTCCCATTCACCTAGCAAGCAAGTAGGTACCTGGGTGTTAGTCACCTGGTGAGAGTCGCATCCTGGAGAACAAGACTGAGGACCCCAACAGAAATACTGTAAGACAGACAGTCCCTCAATGACACACTCATGAGATATATGGGTTGGGGGCAAAGGATTGTGTGACTGGGGGGATGTAGGTAGAGGACTGGGTTAAGTTGTGGGTGGTGTAGTTTGGGGTAAGGATTTGGGGAGGAATGTGGGAGGGGTAGGGTTTTTGGAAGTAATCTACCTGGAGTCTACCTGGAGGGTATTCAGTGGATCAATACCCCCACAGCTCGGTCCATGACCTGACTTCCTAGTGGATCAAAGCCTGATCAACCAGGCTGTTACTGCTGGCCACACAGTCCAACGTACAAACCACAGCTCGGCTGATCCAGCACCAACTGAAAATATCCGTCCAGCTCCCTCTTGAAGGCAACCAGGGGCCTATTTGTAATTCTCCTTATGCATGGTGGGAGGCTGTTGAACAGTCTTGGGCCCCAGACACTTGTGGTGCTTTCTCTTAGTGTACCAATGGCACCCCTACTTTCTACTGGTGGTATTTTGCACTACTTGCCAAGTCTTTTACTTTTGTAGGGAGTGATTTCTGTGTGCAGATTTGGGACCATTCCTTTTAAGATTTTCCAAGTGTAGATTATGATACATCTCTCTAGCCTTCATGCCAGCGAGTACAAGCAAAGTGCTTCCAAGCGTTCCCAGTAGTTGAGGTGTTTGATGGAACTTGTATGTGCAGTAAAGGTTCTCTGTATACACTCTAGATCTGCAATTTCACTTACTGTGAACAGAGATGTTAATGTACAGCAATATTCCAGCCTAGAGAGAACAAGTGATTTGAAAAGGATCATCATTGGCTTTGCATCTCTTGGTTTTGAAAGTTCTCATTATCCATCCTATCATTTTCTTTGCAGTTGTGATCGTGGAACTGTTGTGACCCTTGAAAGTGAGTGCCTCAGACATTACCATTCCCAGGCCCCCCACATTAATTTTCCACTTTATTGTATGATCAGAGTTATGATCAGAGTTTGTAGTATACGTACTCAGTTCTAGTTATTATCTCCTCAAGTTATCCATAACATAGTAGTTGGAATCTGTCTTCACCGAACATCATATTGTTTTCTGTTGCCCAATGGAAAATTTGGTTTGTATCTACTTGGAGGTTAACCATGTCCTCAATAGATGACAGTCTCGTGCAGATCCTAGTATCGTTTGCAAAGGATGACACTGTGTTGTGGATTACATCTCTGTCTATGTCTGATATGAGGATGAGGAACAGGATGGTGGTGAGTACTGTGCCTTGTGGAACAGAGCTTTTCGCTATGGCAGCTTCCAATTTAACTCTGTTGACCACTATTCGTGTTCAGTTGGTTAGAAAGTTGAAGATACATCTCCCCACTTTGCTCATTATTCCTTTAGCACGTATTTTGTGCACTATTACACCATGATTGCACTTGTCAAAGGCTTTTGCAAAGTCTGTGTATATTACATCTGCATTCTCTTTTTTCCAGTGCATCCAAGACCATATCATAGTGATCCAGTAGTTGTGAGAGGCCGGAGTAACCTGCTCTGAACCCATGTTGCCCTGGATTGTGCAGTTTTTGGGAATCCAAGTGGTTTGCACTCATGCTTCTTAGCACTCTTTCAAAGATTTTAATGATGTGGAACGTTAGAGCTACTGGTCTATAGTTCTTAGCTAATGCTTTGCTGCCACCTTTATGGAGTGGGGATATATCCATTTTTTTAGTGACTGTGGAAGTTCACCTATGTCTAAGCTCCTTCTCTATAGTATTCTTAGGGCATGCGAAAGGGGTTTCTTGCAGTTCTTAATGAACACAGTTCCACGAGTCTGGGCCTGGGACCGAGTGCATGGGCATGTTGTCAACGACTTTCTCAAAGTCTATTGGAGTTAGGGTAATATCAGAAATCTGGCATACATTGATGGAGTTTTGAGGCTGATTCATGAAAAAATCATTTAGATTGTCAATCTTTAGACTGATTAGTGGCTCATTAAACACAGTCATATTGGGATTTCAGTATCTCACTCATTTCTTTGTTGTCATCTGTGCAAGTCCCATCCTGTCTGAGTAAGGGCCCGATACTAGATGTGGTATTTGCCTTGTTTTCGGCATATGAAAAATATTTCGAATTTCTTTCCGTTTCACTAATCACTTTCGGCTCCTCCTGTCTCTTCTGGGTCCTGTAAGAGTCCTTTAAGTTAGGTTTGATACTGTCCACTTCCCTGGTCAGCGCTTCCTTCTGTGTATCAGATAATCTAGCGTTCTTGAGGAGCTCGGTGATTCTTCGTCGTCTTCTGTAGATGGAGCGTCTCTCTCTCCAGTTTACTTCTTCTATTCTTAGGGAAATATGCCATGAACATACTTCAGCTGCCAGGAAGTTGATCCTTTCAAGGCACTGGTTTAGATCCATTTTATTTAACATATCTTCCCAACATGTTTAATTTAAGACATGGTTCACCTGGTCCCAGCTGATGTTCTTGTTGAAGTTGTAATTGGTGAAAACACCTTCACAGCTACATGAATTTTGCTGATCAGGATCCCTGTGCATTTAAGTACCTCATTCCAATAAAAATGAATGACAAATTACAACCCCCTTCCCCACACATGCACACAAAAAGTTAAATTAGCAAACAATAAAAGCTACAAATGTGAATAAAATACCACATACAAATAATGTCATACGCCATCACACAAACCTTCTCATACCAAGTTAAAATAACCAGCATCATGTAAAAACCCTATAAAATTATTATCTAAATTCTCACCTAAAGTTCCCTGGCACCTCAGCAATTATAAAAACCATGATGACAGTTTGTCCATGGCCTAAGGCATAGACAAACAATTAAAATGTGTAGATATGGGGGGGGGGGGGCAAGAGTACATGCAAACCGGTGGTTATGAGTGAGATTGGTGTGCCTGATCCTCAATCAACCGATTCGTCGGTATTTTATACCATTTATTTCCATCGATTCGTCTCATAATGCAGAGTCCTATCGCAGGAGGAATCAATCAATCAAGTTTATTCTTTATAAGGATTACATTGCGGGGTCAAACACCCATGTCCTGCTGGGCTCTGCATAACTGGCTCCTGATCAGTAGGTCCCACCACTTCCAAATGGCATCTGTGGATATGGTCCATGAAGTCAATATGGCAAAAGTTTAATACAGATTTAACCTTTACCTCAGCATCTTCTAATTCATTTCCTGGGACATCGATAAGGCCAGGACACTAACAGAGCTCCACATCATTGTGTCGTGTGTAGAGATGAGCGCACAGGGTAGCATACCTGGCCAGGGCAGACAAGTGAATTCGTTTGGATAGGACCAAAGGTTTGGGTAGGGATAAAGGTTTGAGTTAAAACCGAACCATTCCAGGATGCTGGAAATGGGTTCATAAACTAGGGTCCTAAGGCTCTTGAATCCAATCGGATGTGGGGGTGGGGGTTCTAGTTATGAACTAAATACAATCGAACAGCAGGAGGAAGAAAAAAAAAACAGGCAACCATTAAATGTAACCCTTAGAGGACATCCAATTATTCGTTCATTTTAAAGCAAAAGAAGTAAATTCTCATTTCTATACCTTGACAGGAATTTAAAATCAACACTCACATCCATCAAATAACCAAGGTTTTCAAAACAGTGGACATCCGAAGATACGTTACTATGTACCTCAAACAGAATTTCTCTAATACATTCTTACCTCACCCAGGTAATGTCTGCCTTGGGGATCTACTACATGTAGCACAGCGCCTAAAGCTAAGATGAACTCGGCAAAGGAATGATCATTTAAATGCTAGACAACATAAGGAAGATCCATGACAAAACACCTCATTGTTAATTATAAGATATCTAAAATCTTGAGGTTGTATCCACATTTTGCATCGACTAGATGAATTAATTTATTCTGAGGAGAATGTAACTCAAATGTGATAAAATTTAGTGTTAATATGATCATTTTTTTTAAATTGTATTTCATACTGTGTGGTGTACATCAACTACGTATATGAAGCAACTGTAAAATACAATGTGGCTAATATTTCTTTCAAGTGGTGTTACAATACTCAGTGGGGTCTGACAAAGACCCACTGTAACATCTGTATTTTTTTTTTTTTTTTGCGTTACCGCTCACAGGATGAGCTGCGGGTGCACAACTTGTCACTCAGGCGGCACAACTCAAACCTTTAAAAATACACTACTTCAAAAATTTAAATTTGTTCAACATACATAACATTCATACTACTGAAGATATATATAATAAATAATATAGATATATATAATAAATAATATATATATATATATATATATATATATATATATATATATATATATATATATATATATATATATATATATATATATATATACCATTTTAATGTTCAATCAGAAAACTATATTGCGTTATATTATATTACAAGTTCATAAATTATATCCACTTACTCTTGTACAACTAGACAATTCCAATATTTTTATTTAATGAAGCATGTTGTAACTTATATTTTCTTTAACTTCGGCTATTACCGTGTATATATTTAAAAATAAATCAAAGTATGTAGTTCTTAATCTAAGCCTAGACTAAGCTTTCCCCTAAATGCTGTACATTCTATGGATTTTCTAATTATTGAATATTTTGGAAATACAGTAATTGGAAATAAAGAATCTAAATCTAAACTTAACCTAAATCTAAGGTGGAACCTTGTTGCCTAAACCCTGCCAAAGCCCCCTTCCCCTCCCCTCATACACACCGTGTGCCGTGATCCGACTCCTGCAACCATACTATATAGGCGAGTACCCCTACACACCCCTACCAGCAGAATCAAAGGCAACAGGCTCTCCTTACACCTAGAGGGTGCTTATGCATAATTCCTAGACCAATTGCCCAGAAGGTTGATGATTAACGCCCCAGGGAAGAAAACGGAAACTTCATCACTGATGCTCAAGAAATCAGGTCAGGTGGACCCAAAGGCTTAAACACCGACAGAGCCAGACTACCCATTCTGAGTCAACACAGTAGGAAAAAGGGGAAGTTGATGAAGGGCGCCCCAGACCACTTGCCCAGTGGGCCATGTATGACGAGGACAAACGTTCCAGGAAGAGAACGGGGGAATTTGTCACCGATGCTCAGGACCCGTAGAGGGAATCACTGCAGTCCACCAACGTACCGCGAGTCTCTGCCAATGTGTCCTCCTTTTGTTTGGAGTTAAAGGACCACTGACAGTTTACGCGGCATCCAGAAGTCTCGGATAAAAAAAAAAAGTAAAACAAAGAAAATAAGAAAAATATACAGGAAAGAAGTAAAAACAAGATCAGGAAGAATAAGAAGGTACGATACCGTGACTAGAACCATACACAAAGAACCAACACATACACAAAATTATGGCGAGGTTTCGGTCCAACCTGGACCATTAACTAGTCACACAGATGACCGAAACATCATAAATTTCATTCTTCTATATGCTGGTTATTTGTGTAAATGAAGGAGACAAAGCGAGAGTGGGAACATAAAGGTCACTAACCTGTGGTTTTAAGGACGACCCTGTCAATGCCGTGGTCCTCGTGGGTGAGTTGGTGCACCAGGTCCTGGACCGTGTGGGTCACGGGCCGCAATGTGAAGCGACACAGGTCTCTCCTGGAGGGCAGCGGCACTGTCAGCTGCGGCAGGCCATTGCACACTGCTACTGTCACACCTGCAACACACCATGAAACACTAGTATCCCCTCTGCATCATGAAACACAAATATAAGTTTTGCAACAGTGAAATACTAATGTCCCCTTTGCAACAAAGAATTCATTTGCATTCCTGATATTATTCATGATTTATAAGCTGATGGTTCATTAAGAGTATCTTCAAAACACTTGACTCAAGATCACATATGTCCGTGGGATGTTAGTATAAAGTGGCCGGCAAGTGGACAAAATAGCCTGGTTTAATAATAGGTGTCGCAAACCCTTTCTCTGGACAGCAGTCATTTTTTTTACGGAGGCACATAATGAGTCCAATGACTGGGCCCAAAGACTGTATTAGCTAACGCAGCAGCGGCAGTGGCGGCTGATTTAGCGAGCACAATGACACAACTAGCTCCAGGATGACTATAAGAACCACTCATTCCGTACCTTAAACTCACTGGTAATTTAGAGAGTCATCAGTGTATGTGGGACGTTATCTTTCACTCGTGCCTCGCTTCATCATTGCCAGTTCATTCTGTCAAAACAACCCTCTATTTACCACCGGTAAACAAGAGTGGGGTAGAAGAATGACGTGTTGATGAGAGGGAGAGGAGACGGAGGGAGAGGCTGTGTATATGTGTGTGTAATAATAATAATTATAATATATATATATATAGGGAAGTACCACCTCTATAGCTGGAATGGGGACCCTCATCCTCAGAGAAGACAATAAACGTACCTCAGAGAAAACTCAAGGTTCTCCCCGGAGCTGTTTGAATATTTTCTTCTCCTACCACCCCCTATATATTTTTTATTCTATGTGAACATTTATTAATAAACAAAATACATTTACAGAAAAAAACATAAACATGAATACAATGGCACAAAGTATCAAAGATGATGAATTTCCTCCAGCTCCTCCGAGGCTGGACGTGAGCCAAGTATGCAGCAAGCATTTCCCCTCTGGATGGCGACGCTGAGGCGCTGGAACATGAAAGTGGCTGCCCTTGGGTCCCTGGTGGTGTCGATGAGTCTGGAACCCAATTCTTTAAGGAAACGTGTGGCATTTTTTCCCCATGATCCCAAGGTCTCTGATCCCACTGGGACAAATTGATACTGTTGGCTAATGTCCCTGTACTTGCTGATCTTGTACTCCTCCCTGTGGTCAGCAGCTCCTCCCTGTCGCCCCACACTGTGATGGATATAGGTGTCAGCCAGTGTGGACACACAGGTATAGTCCCATGCTAAGAGCTTGCCATTCTTCCAAGGATAGATGGTGATCCCGTCGGGGCGGTTTGCTGGGTTGTGGGTATTGTTTGCTGCAAGTGATCGTGGCTCCCTCTCGGCAGGGCATCCAGCTGTAGCAAGGGTTCTCTTAATGATGTCGTTGACCTCATTGTGTCTTGCATACCAGCCCTTGGTTTTGGAACAGTTAAGACCATGTAGACCGTATTGGTCTGCTTGCACTTCGCCGCAAATACACATATATTCTGTGTGAATTGGGGCAGCAAGGCGCAGAGCCACTGCAATACGGAGGGTCTTAGGGTCGAGTCGCGTTCCCATTGCCGATATGGGAACTGTTTGGAGGAAGTCCCCGGAGTGAGGTGCACTCACAGCCTGGAGACGGGCAATCTCCCTATCTGATGTTGCAGCCCTGAGCATGTTGGCAAGCACCTTTTCAGCAATTGGGCTATCCCAGCTTGACTGTTTGTGAGCCAGTGCTGCACTAGGGTTTGGTGCTGGAGCAGCAAGAGTCTCCCATTCGGTGATGGCACTGACATAGCTAGGGTCTTCTATTCCTGCTGAGTCACTGAGGGTGTCAGGAAGAATTTGTCTTATCAACTCGTTTGATGCAATGGAAGAGGATAGGAAAGCTGGTAGAGCAATCTGGGAGGATCTGCGTACTCCTAGCCCTCCAAGCCTGACCGGAAGTGAGGCTTGGAACCACTGTCCATCGTCAAGGGAAAGATTCAATACACTCTCTAGCATGGCCTTCAGGAGAGAGTCATATTCCTTGAGTTTTGGACTGCTGAAGGCTGGGGAGCATCTCAGAAAATAGGTAAGTTTTGGGGTTGACAGGCACCTGGTGAGTAGGTAGAAGGCATCGTGTGTGTCAATGTCTTTCATCCTGCTTTCCATCGTCCGGAGGTCTGAGACTTTTTTTCCTAGGACCAGATCGATGGCATTGGACCCAAGAGGAGCACCGAGGAGAGTGCTATTGGCTGGATCAATGGCTCGTGCTCCTGGTAAAACGGTACTAATATATATATATATATATATATATATATATATATATATATATATATATATATATATATATATATATATATATATATATTATATATATATATATATATATATTATATATATAAAGGCGTCAGTACAAAAGAGGGTGGAAACAAAGATATGAACACTGACATTTTTAGAATGCCTAGAGATTTCATATTACACCGTTGTACAACTTCTGACTTTCTTCTTTCAACCATCCATTTTTTTTTCATGTAATATCTAAAGTTTAATTATAGTGGCAAGTTAAAGTTTGCTTCACCATTGCCAGCTGCTGCCTCTCTCATCTCTCCATTTTTTTTTCTTTCTCCATACTCAGGTAAATGGAACCCACACGCAGAACTTCAGAAGATGTATCTGAAAGATGAAATAGGCAAGCTTTTTGCTTGGAATAACACAATTGATGGTGAAAATTACGCAACAAGGAATCTCCGGCAACGATTTTAAGGTTAAAAGCCTTTCTTTTACCGTATTCTTTGTAAATAGTGCACTGTGGGGAGGCCTTTTACCAAACACTTTCATACATAATAATATATATATATATATATATATATATATATATATATATATATATATATATATATATATATATATATATATATATATATTATATATATATATACATATATATATATATACACACACACACACACACACACACACACACACACACACACACACACACACACACACACCAGTTTACTTTAATCAGTATTTTAATTATTAAAGAATTATTGATGTTTGTGCATACATGAATTGCGGATCACATGACCCTGGCGCAGTTGATAAGCTTTACACCAAACTAATGTGTTGACCACAAGCGTAATAAAGCCGGCCAATCACTATTAGGAGGCAGTGGTGGGACAGGAAAACCAGTGCCACTAGCAACACCATTACCTACTTCCTACCTTTCTCCTCCCTCGCTGCCCTCTTCCTTCCTCATCTCTCTCCTCCACCACTCCTCTCCACCCTCTACGGATCTTCCTCCTTCGCTTCCTTCTTCTCATCTCGTGAGTAAAATCGTAATTTTATCCAGAACTTTCCTTCATACCATGTTTACCCACGCTTAACTTAGATGACTTCCTTTATTGAATCCATTACCTTCCATGACTTCATTTACAATCTCCTGTCATGATTTCCCTTATTATTTCCCCTGATGACTCTCCTTGAAAATTAATGGTTCGTTCTAATAACATAACACCAGATTTCCATCCTTTGATGACTTCCATTTAAAAAAAAAAATTACCTTAATAACTTCATGAATCCATTGATTTTCTGTCGGGTCACTGTATGTAGACGACCCGGCGAATATAAGACAAATTAAAAGAACATAAATGCAGCTAATGTGAAATTTGATCGTGGCAAAGTTTCGCTCTCCAAGAGCTTAATCAAACAGTTATAAGCAATACAAGGACACAGGGTATATATACATAGGTACCACATGAGGTGGAAGAGTAATTCTACCATTACAAGACACAAGACATTGGTTTCCCTGAATACAAAACAACACTCGACGGTTCGCTTCATTTGAGGATTTTCTTTGATAACGTTAGATTAAAACCCTGATGACCCTTGCCGCTGCTTCTGGCATCGACCAGTGTTAGCTCATTATAACTCACTTGGTTTAACTTGGATTTTTATGTTTAGCTAATCAGGTCCAGACTTCTGAGTACCTGGTATAAATACTGGTCACTGATACATAACATAAGAAGGAACACTGCAGAAGCCTAATGGCCCATTCGAGGCAGGTCCAAGTCACCTCCCGGCTTAAACCCACCTAATTAGGTCAGGTCACATCCACTTAAGGAAGGAGCACGGCATCAGATCTATTAGTACAAGCTAGTCAGGCCCAACTTACACCCATTCGTATATTTATCTAACCTCTTTTTAAAACTACACAACGTCTTAGCTTCTATAACGGTACTCGGGAGTTTGTTCCACTCATCCACAACTCTATTACCAAACCAGTGCTTTCCTATATCCTTCCTGAATTTGAATATTGGTGTTGTTGTTTAGAAAGGCACTGAGTAAAGACTTGATCAGAAGTGATCAAGGTCCTACGACCGAAATGTTCTGTTTTCGTGCTTGTTCACTGTCATTATGGGCACGTCTAGAGTTTTCATTCTCGCGCTCCTCGCTACATACCCATTAACAGACTTAGGCTCTTAATTCAGGTACTGGTAAGAGGTTGTCAGGTCTTGTGTCGAGTGACTGCCGTGGCTAGTGTTAATTGCAACAAATTCTGCAATAGCAATTAATTAATCAAACTGTCTCGACAGTTATCATTCTTTCGGCAACAATTACTGCTGAGGAATTTATTAAAATAATTAACCCAGGACAGTTAACAGCAAAGTAAGCCAAACAAAGTGGCTTATATTTTCCTCCAGGATGATCCCCAATTGTCGACTAGCTCTATGTTTTTTTTTTTTTACTGCTACGTGATCAGGGATAACAGTTGCTAGATTTTTCCATACATCTCATGCAGCCGAAAACTGAATAGTTGTCCTGAGGTTGTGAGCCAAAAGCACAATAACTGAACTACGAGATGTCATGATACTACTACAACGGCCGCTTTTCTATTTATTATTTCTGACACCACTGCTGCTGATGCTTCTGACTCTGCTGCTGTTGCTTTTGTTGCTGTGCTGCTACTGCTGCTGTTGTACTTGTTGCCACTACCGTACGTTCCGCTGCTTTCCCCTGTATAACTGATACCGCGGAGGGTAAAGAGAGA